GAGGCTCAAGTCCTCCATAGTCTTAACGTGGCTGCAGTATGTGTCATATTCCACATCAGTGGGTAACGATGTCGGTCAGCAATCAAGTTGCTGTAATTAAAGTTGTGATTAACTCCTGACAGTAATGAGATTGTGTCAGGAGAATAATTCATACAGGGGCTCTTCTGCAACATATTCATCATTTTCCTCTAGATTATAAAATTCATCATCAACTATGTGAGCAGTTTTCAGTCATAAAGATGTTGATATCAGGACTGCTGAAGTTGATTGAATTTTGCAAAAAAAAAAAAAAAAAAATCAAACACAAGCACCCATTCTAAATCAGTTTTACTATTATCAAAAAAATCTTGATGTCCAAAGTTACCTGTTGACTCATCTGTCCAGCACTCATTGATATCTGCATGTCCACTGGTTTTGAGACACTGAGAATAACATCTTTGAACATTATAAATGATTCACCATTATAAATGATTTCAACTGTTCATTAAGGGGATTCATTAAAAACACACACACACACACACACATTTTCTGTAATTGTTCATCATTCTATAAAACAAAAAACAAATTATTTCAATTTTGTAATGAGGATGTTTGTAGGATTATGTCCCTTGATCCAGTTGGGACTTTTTTCTACTCTCTTTTACAGGAGAATTAATTTATAAATGGCCCATGGAAAAAAGATATTTTAATACTTTAACATTGCCATCAGCTGTTCTTTTATTCAAGAATTGTGATATTTTTACTAGTCAAGATAATTCAACTTTAGATATATCATTGACAGAAAAAAAGAGCCATGGGGCGTGACTTAAAATACGGTCTATCACTATTTATGGATTTTTTTTTTTGAACCTTGAAACAGAATAAAAATCTCTTTTCCACATAGCCTCAGAAGCTACCTCAACTTTGACAAGGTTATGGCTTCCTGTTAGAACACAACTAAATCGATGGATGGATCTTCTTATCAATTGATCAATATTGTGTACGATTATTGAAAATCCAGTCTGTGGTTTAACTTTTGTTCAAAAAACCAGGAGAGATATGTTAAACACTGCATGTCTGCCCGTAGTCTTCAGTGGGGGAAATTAAATCAGAGTGAGGAAATTCTCTGGTGGCTAAGAGTGCTTTTTCATGTGGTCTATTGAGAATGGGGTTATAAGGAATTTTCTTCATGTTTTTGCTGTTTTTCCGATGTAATATTGATAAATGTTTCTGCAGGGGAAGCAAGAACCTGTACTAACCTCTATTAACTTATTATTAGCAATAAATGTCAGAGTAAATAAATGATTTCTGTGTAGTTGAATTAATTTTCCAGTTTGCACCTTTAGGGAGCATTGACAGATTTAACTTGAAAACTCCTAGAAATATTTTTCCGAGTGCCTGGCATGGCCAGAGTACATTGTTCTTACATATTTTGAATGCATAGTAATACAAGTCAGGTTGCTTTTCATCATTGGGACATTTACAAATGAAGTACTTCAGTCTGCTAATTAGAAATTAGTGGGAGCTACACTTTCCTTCAAATATAACATACAATTTGTTTTGAGGGTCTTTTAAAGAGTTATTAGCCTCATTGAAGGATGGGCTTTCTTTGCCAGACAAAGCCACTTATAGACTTCTTCATAGGAAAACTGTGTACTTTTACAGGAAATCTCTCTTTCACACAAACAGACAAACAAGGGGAGGAGGGACGCGGGACTAATTGTCAATTTGTGTCACATTTGGCATACCTTTACACCTGGCCATGTCACCCTAGGTACAGATGCATGCTGGGGTTCAACTCTCCAGCAGACCAGAGGATTAAGAATAGCAAGATATTATCAAAACAGAGGTCTTCCCTAATTACATTTTTGCACGGATAGATTTCCTTTTTAGAATAAAGTTAGAGATCTGTGCACTAGCAGATAGGATTAAAATAGAACCTATGGACAGGAATTAAGGGGCACCCATGCAGCGATCTGCTCACTTTGAAGGTCAATATATAAATGTGTTTCCGAACTTCATAGAAAGACTACAAGTTATGAGATAGAGCAGTATCGATATTTAAAAAAAAAAAAAAAAAAAACTGGAAAGGTATCTCAGGTTACTGTGTGAATCAAGATCCTAACTAGGTGGGCTGAACAGGTGAGAAAGTGTCACTATTTACCCTTACTTCTGTTACACTGAACAGATTCAGATTATGGCAAAGATTCCTCTATTATTTCAACAATCCTGTCTTTAACTCAGCAGAAGAATTTGCTTTCTGGGTTTGGGAGGTTTCTGATTTTATGTATTGTTTTGTTAAACAAATCTGACACTTTGGTTTGCCCCTTGTCTCTAAAGAGAATTTTTTCTAGTATTTACATTTCAAATATATTCAAAGAATCCATATCTTGTTTCAGTAGTCATTACCTATTAGAATCTGGATTGCTTACAGCATAATTGCTTTTGTGTTATTTTTGGTTACAAGATTTTGGGGGCAAACTACGTACCTCTTCTGCAGTGGGAGGTTATGCTGATTGGGGGGTAATCATGCTTAAATAACATAAATATTTAGACAATATTTATGTTACATGGAGAAAGCAGGTCTTAAATGAACAATTAAGCAATTGTAATGTCCTTTCTGAAAGCTTAATCATTGAAGATCATGTCAAAATAATTATGTTGTGTTTTGTCTGGACCATTGAAACAAATATATTTTTACAGAAAGTAGGGTAGAAAATTGATTCATCAAGATGTATGACATGCTCTACAACAGTGGGGTTTTAGATATAGGATATATATCTGTTATATCTTAAACAATTTCTTTCACTAGAATACTCTATTTGTACAAGGCTCAATTAACAAACATATGAGTTTTACATGTGCATCTTGGAGCCCTATGTTAATTGAAATGTTTGTGAATATTTTATCAAGTAGGCTTTAAAACACCAATATTTTTTTCATCCAAAGTTTCCTTACATATTTTACATGAAGAAGGCTTTGTAGCTGTATTAATTCCAAGAAATTCTAATCATTACCTACCTTTATGCTATATTTAAATTGAATTAATTTGATATTATTTTTAAGGCTAATTCTTCTAGAGGGCATTTCTTTAGATGAGTTTATAGCTGGAAAACCTGTGAATTGAGCCTTGTTTGGAGCATTGATTTATAAAGATGAACAAGTTTGATTTAGGGCTTGATTAAACCAGAATTGAATGCCTTGTGTGGTACGCTAACATTACTTCATCTTAACACATTTAGAAATTCATCTCCCTGCATTTGTTGAGGTTCTTGTGCATATGGAATCATTCTGTTTGCTTAAATCAGATCACAAATGCACATAACACATCCTTTGTTCCAGTTGTTGCAATCAGTGTTAACATTTCATCTTTATTCATTAGAGAGGGAAGCATTTACAACTTTGAAAATAAGAAAAAAAATTCAGGCAATCAAGCTTTGTCGAGAATTTTTGTTAACTTCATGAAATGAAGTGTACCTTGATCTGCATTCTGAAGTTTTTTGTAAAATCCTGGAGTTATTTGAGTTTTGAAAAATATGCCAGTTTAATGTTTGCAACATGTGGGAAAACTATCTATCTTAGTAAAAATGTTAAGTTTACCCTTCACTGTGCAAGGATTTATTCATCCAAAGTTTTTTATTAAATCAAACACAAATTTAAAAGAAAGGAAATTCCACACAATTGTATTGACAGAAATCTGCCATATTAACTGATGATGTTGTTGTGAAAAAGCTTGAACATTTTTTGAGGGGGAATTTGGAATCTGTTCTATGCCTTGTATTCACAGACTGGTTTCTAATTCATCCTTCCTTTTCTGAACATGTCCGGGATAAAGGGCTTGTAGATTGTGTGTTTTTCATGTATTTTCTGTGGTTTGGAAGCTTCTGGTGTCAATTATGGCCACAAGATGAATGATCCCCCAGTTTATATAACATATTGATAAGAATATTATTCAGATTTACTCTGGCAGAGTAAAGTTATCTCCCCTTAGCAGATTGAAGTAAGATTGATGAATCGGGCTTTAGATCATGTCTTATGCCACAAATTGATGAAATACCAAGGGATTTTAATGACAATTTATCTTTTGTAAGAATCAATTTGCCCATTGAAATTGGTGTGAAGCTGTCAGGATATTTTTGGATGAAAAATTATATTTGTCTGATGTTGGCCTCAACATGAAAGTCAGGTCAGTCAAGAATTAACATTGATTTCATGAAGAATAAATAAATTATGGACAATATAAAATATTAATTTTCTACAAATAACAAACAAGTTTTGCAGCTAAACTATTGTAATTACCACCTGTTCAGGTGTAAAATGCAAAGAAGGGCTCTTAATAAATTCCTGATAATTACCATACAATCATAAATTTTGCATGAAAGTTTGGGAATAGGATGAGACTGATTTGACAGAAAGGTGTCTTAAGAACCACACAAATCACATTTCAATGAACTGTATGATGTAACCACTAATACTGTCAGTCACAAAAGTTGAAATCTGCTAGTCAATTCCTAAAAAAACTCTTACTGCTTCATTAACCTTATGTTTACAGATTACATACATTCCAACTAGCGTAAATGTTGGTACGAAACACTGGGAATTAAGCATGTAATATGTCACTATGGATTGTATTGTTTCCCAAACTGACAGACATATAAATGTATTTTGGGGGAGAATTTCCTCAACATTAGGCAGCTTATCATGTCTTTGATAAATTTCAAGCTACGTTACTTTTACATGTATGTTATAGACAGGGATTAGCTGTATTATAAGACGACAGAGTGATTGCAGCTTATGTGACATTTAATTCTCTGAGCAGAACCTCCTAATTAATTAATACAAACCGTGTGCAATATACCGCTAAACTTTCCTCCACTAAATGATCAAATAATTCTGACAGACTCAAAATTTGAAAGTTAAAAAATTCCATCAACAGGATTCAAATGACAAAAGTGATATCAAAAGAGATAATTGTGCCTCCTTACCTGTGGTGATAAAGTCTGCTTTTCCGTGTTGTGGAGTAAATAAACAAAGTGATCAGTAGTGGTGGAATTGTGTGCCGAATGTGACTGATTTTAGATTGGTGGGCTGGCCTGTTACATCGTAAGGCAGGGTAATGGAAATATCTGATTTTCTGTTTTAGTGGTTGGATATTGGACCAGACTCACTAGGTGTATGTGGAGGATAAGAAGAGACAGGGGACCACAGTGTGAACATGTAAACTCACAGGTAAGTCCTCAAACAAGGAATGGTGTAAGTTAAATTTAAAACTTCTTTTTCATCAATTATTAATCTAAGAAAAAAATTTTCCTCTGAAATGTATATCACTATTATAAATTGTCCAACAGATTTTGACTAAAATCATGATTTAACTTCTGAGGAAAAATGAGTTCTGAACAAAAGTTAATGTTTTGAAAACATTTAAACTTTCATTTTTGGAAATGCATATAGATGATTGATTGCTTGAATTATTATGCCTATATTTATTTCTTGTACATTAATTTACATGTTCCAATGTTTTAAAAAAGTTGAAAATGTTTGAATGTCGAATTTTACTCTATGTTCAGTATATGTATGAGTGAATAATCAGAGTTTTATAGATAATTTTTTCTAGAAATCACTCTGAATTTTTTTTAAACTGCAGAGAAAAAAATATTGGTGCAATTTACAGGTGGGCCAAACACAGGAATTCTCGATTCAGTCTTTCAATTGTGGTTTCAGTGTAAATAATGATCCTGTTTTACGACATTAATCATATTTTCAAATACATGAATTTCCAAAAACTAATTTAGTTCTCATTTGTTTACATTTTCCTTCATATTTTATGGTAAAATTTACTTTCAACTAATTTTAAATATTTGTATTGCTTGATTTAGTCAAACGGTGTTTATCTTTCACCCTGGGCATGGGTTGTACATGCCTCAAGTTTATGTATTCACTTTTGAAAAATCATTCATGGCTTTAACTGATCTTTAAGAAACAACAAAAAAGAGAAAAGTAACTTTTGTAAAGGAAAATTTCTCAAAGAGCAAATATATATAGATTCTTTCAGTATTCAAATTTACTGACTAAATTTTTATTGATATGGATATCAAAATCAATAAGCAAATTTATGTTTCATGTCTGGACAAAGATGGTTTTTCATTTTCAGTTAATTTGCTGAATGAGGTGAACTCATACAGATCATTTAGATTCTGTCTAATCTTTCACAAATTCATATGTCCGTTAAATTCATTTGGAAAATATGTATGAAACCCAAACGATTTTGTCCAACACCTAGCATGAATCTTTTACTCTCAATGTGGCCCAAATAGTCAGAAACAGGGATCAAAGGCTTTTTCTCAACATGTAGGGAAAATATTCCATAGAAGTCTGTTTGCTCCTATTGCATATGTATATGGAAACATTAGAACATTCTATTTCCTATAAGAAAAGTTCCTTTGCATAAAGCATAGATGAAACTACACTTAAATGCTTTTTCTCTTTGAAATAATTTAGTAGTTTAAAAATACAAAAAGATGAAACAGTTTCAAGTACTGCTTATGGGAGAGATCATTTTTTTGTATGCATATTTGTATTATGCAGTATGAAGTAAATAGTAAATTTACCTCCATTAATTGAATTGTCACTTGTTGAACTACATAAGAAACAAGGTGACCTGTGAAATTTGTAATGTATTGGGATTTTATCTCATCAATCAAAATTTCACTTGCAAAACAGTTAATTGGTTTTTGGAAAGAATGACACAATTGGTGATTGTGTTGGAAAGTATATATTTTGATTCCCCAAAAATTATATATACATACTTCCATTCTTGCAATGTTTAAAACTTACAGATCAAAACACCTTTTCTAAGGTCTTTTTATTTTTTAGTAGTGATTTGTGTTGTTTCTTATAGTTTATGGGGATTTAATGAATGGCTTGATAGGATTTTACATTAAATCACCTCTGTCTACATGTGTGTCTGTGAGATGTTAGATTTACCAGTAGTTGATGTGGATGCAAATTAGTACGAACACTGAACATTGTCTCTGAAAAGATTTGCTGTAGTTTAATTATAAATAGACACATCACAGAGAATGCAAAGAAGATCAGAGACACACTTTCATTCACCTACTTGATACAGGATGAATTTCTCTATAGTTGTTTCTATATTCCTGAACCAGTGACATTGACTGCCATTTTGTTTTTGATGTGAAGCTAAGATCTTGTGTTTACCAGGCTTGCAACAGAAAACAACTACCCAATAACAAGTAAAATACAAGGTAGTTTAGACATTTATTTGAAAGTGACGAAAGTATTCGTTTTGAGACCCTGACCTTTTATTAAGGAAAGGGTTCCAAATTGGAAGTTTAATTGTTGAAATGAAAATAAGATAGCCAGAAAATTTGCATTTTAACAACATTGAAGCAGCATTTTTATTGTAGTTCAAAGCAGCAGTCTAAATATCAAGGAGATTTAAAATTTATACTTATTTTCTAGACATCTTAATTAATTGAAATAAATTTTCTGAGACTTGTTCCTATTGTTTCATCTATAATACATGTATGCATCTGAAAGGTTTCCAATATTCAGAACTTATAATGAAGGTTGATGGCCTTCTTACAGTTCAAGGCGCTGTGGCAGAATTTTAATCCTTTAATTCTGAGTAATCTAAGGTCATAATTGTAAGTTTCTTTTTCTCTTATATCCTTTGTGTAATTCATAGAATATGCAGTGACCTTGTTCAAAAACAATTATGTTACAAGTTTACTGATCTTTCAGATGTGATTAATTTGAAACTTTCTTGTCTAAGATAAAATCTGGTATGGGGTATGTTGTAAAACTTTCAATGAAGAATTGTAGAATAGGTGTAATGCACCTTTACCAATATAAATCAAATTCTTAAACATGCATAAGTTTAAATCTTTGCAAAAGGGCCAAGGTCCCTGAGTTAAGATAGGTGAGAATTTGCAAAGACCTGTTATAAGGTAAACACTTTGAAATTTGATAGTTCCTTGCATGTTGGAGAAAGATTGGCTCAACAAATCCCAAGATTGTTGGTTGTTTAATTGCATGTGATAACCAAAAATTGATTTTGGTGTCTCATCTCAAATTAGAGCAACTATCAGGTGTTAGATGATAAGAAGGCCAGAAGAATGCTTTTGTCCAATAATGGAGATAATATTTGTCTTCTCCAATTGTTCTATCACAAAATGATTAAAGTCACATCCCAAATAAATTGGCATCAGTTTGGAGAAAAATCATTCTGTAGAGGTGTTGAACTATCTGACTGGCCAGAGATAAGGCCCTCTTGACTGAGTCCCAACAAAAGATGTAACAGAATAGGTTCAATCCGACTGGGGTGATGTCTTTTGTTTTATGTATTGTTTTTTAATTCGGTGACATATTTATAACCTTGTTTGATTCAATTTGGGTTTATCAATCGTTTGAATTAAAGAAAGAGATTAGAAAGAGATTAGAGTGTTTGTAAAATGTGTAACATTTAGTTAGAATGATGAGGAAGGTGAATTAAAAAAGAGATTAGATTGCTTTTACCAAAACCAGACGCTTCGATCCTTTTGAATAAAATCATTTTGTGAACAAATTTTATTGACATTGAATTTACCTGAAGTAAATTAACAGGTATTGCTGTTTATTTTGTATTCCTTTGAGAGGTTTAAAGATGAAAGTAAATTGCTGTTATGGTTAATTTAGATTTTTTTCTTTGGTGCTTTTAGAATCTTTCCTCAGTGACTCTCCAATATTGAATGCCCTCCAAATTGTGTATTAGTTGGTATATGACATTTTTAAGGCTATGTGTTATTTTTCTCTGTTTTGTTCATTAAGAATGAAAGCAGATTGACCTAAGTGCTGGAAGCTAGGATTTCACACCTGTCATAGTTTCTTTCAGTGTATAGTAAAAGTACAAATTATTAAAACATACTACAGTAAAACTTGGCTTTAGTGAAGTCCTGGGGACCTGTGAATTTACTTCACTATATCCTTAATTTGTTATATCCATAAAACAAATTCTGTAAAGTATATATAGCAAATTTGCAATGGTAATAGATGTTTTCCTTCAGGTATGACTACCAATTATATTTTGGGAAATATTAAATGCAAAACTTACTTTTGAGTAATGAAGTTTTTGGATGAATTGAATTTCAAATATAAATACTTATAAAAATAATTTCAGATCAATGTTTTAGAAATTGAAATTTTTGTAAATTCATTATAATTATGTAAATTTCATTTTTTTAACCTCTTGGGACACAAAATCAGTTAGCTTTATATGACCAAAATACAGGGTTGTCCCTAAGAATTGAAACAGAAGGGGACATTTAAAAAGTAAAAGGGGATCTCACAGGGGTTCCTCCCTTAATGGGGAATTTCGGAGGAATACCAAAATAATTGGTGGATTACATTATTATGGGCGGTGAAATTCCCCGCCCCTGAGTTCATTGTAACCGTAGAATTTTACAAGGAATTGTTAAGAATTTGCCTGGGATTCCCAAAAACTTTGCTATCCATTATATTCATTATACAGTTGAACTTCGGTATCTCGAACATGGATATCTCGAATACCATGGATATGTCGAAGTGATTTTGAAGTCCGGACTGCTTATTCGTTAAGTATTTTACCCTGGATATCTCGAACCCTTGGTTATCTTGAAGTATTTTCTCGGTCCCTTCGAGTTCGAGATAACGAGGTTTGACTGTATCTGTGTTTGTACTAAATGAGATTTACTTTATACACATAATTACAAAATGAATTCATCTCAATGATCAGTAAAGACAATAATTACTATTTTTCACACTGCACTTTTTCAGGTACATGTATTAATTGTCAGCAAAAAAAGGAATATACCAATTTTTATGAGTACAACTATAGTGTTGTGTACTTCTTATAGTATAGCCAGACACATGGTTGCAAAATAGCTTTTCATTATTTCTCAGAACTGTGGAATCATTTCAGTGGATATTTGTTGCATAATTTTTTTTATAAGTTACTACATGTATGAAAATATATTGCTCAGTTGAAAACATTTCTAATATCATTTTATGTACAGCAAGACTTATGATGGTAACTGTTTTGTGCAAGGCAATCAATACCCCTATAGCTGATGAGGTGGTCTTTTTCTATGGCTGGATATGAAATACCAATTGCTCTAATTTGTTTGCTTTATTTGCCAAAAATGGCAGTAAAAAGAGTCGCAAATTACTTGCTAATGAATATCTATGCAATA